CTATGTGAATGAGTTATGCTCAATGGACGGAGTACTCTTGAGAGGCAATAGGCTGATCATCCCGGCACAGCTTCAAGAACGAGTAATAACGGTGGCACATGAAGCGCATCCAGGCATGGCAGCGATGAAACGACGTTTGCGACAGAAAGTTTGGTGGCCACTAATGGACAAACAGGTGGAAGCTTGTGTAAAGCGATGCAAAGAGTGTACCCTGGTTTCCCGTCTAGGAGCTCCTGAACCCCTGAAGCGTATTAAAATGCCCGAAAAACCATGGGCGAGTATAGCTGTTGATTTTATGGGTCCTCTACCTTCGGGTCATTCACTGTTTGTGATAGTCGACTACTTTAGTAGATTCACTGAAGCAATAGTAATGAGAACAATCACAGCCAGGCGCACAATTCAGGCACTGCATGAAACATTCAGTAGATTTGGTGTTCCTGAAAGCATTAGAGCGGACATCGGGCCACAGTTTATCAGCGAAGAGTTCAAAACATACTGTGAAGAATATGGAATTACATTGGTGAGGACAACCCCGTATTGGCCGCAAGCAAACGGGGAGGTGGAACGTGCAAATAAAACAATATTGAAGCACCTCAAGATAAGCCAAGAAGCGGATAGCACTGACTGGGTTTGGGATCTAAGATCATTCTTATTAATGTATAATTCAACTCCTCATGCATCAACCGGAGTAGCCCCGTCGGCACTCATGTTTGGGCGCATATTTCGTGACAAGCTTCCTGCTTTCGGCGAGACAACTAACCGTTTGGAGCAAGAAGAGGTACGTGATCGAGATTGGGAAAAAAAGCTTAAGGACGCGGAATATACGGATACACGCCGCCAGGCAAAGCCATCTGAACTGAGGGAGGGAGATATAGTAGTTTGTAAGCGAATGATGAAGGAAAACAAACTTTCAACAACGTTTGCTCCAGAAGAATATGAACTCATGAAACTAAAAGGTTCAGAAGCTACATTGAGGTCAGTCAACACGAATCGCGAAGTACATCGAAATGTGGCACATCTAAAGCGATTGCCTAGAACCGAACCAACCGAAAATAAGACAACGGACTCGACAACAGTACAAGAGGACCGAAGCTCATCTATCCATGACGATACCGTCGGCGTTTCATCGGGCAGTAATGTCACACGACCGTTGCGAACACAGCGTAGGCCAGCATATCTTAATGAATATCATACGGATGCAGTTTGGGACTTTTAAGTGAAGGGGGGATGTTGGAGCCGACTAGGCCCTTTGTGAAACAACAGAGATAGATAGGAAAACCTAGCAACACTGGACGAGCAGAAATAGTTAGTTAAGAACGAGAGTCGGTCGTGACGACACCATGTGCGCGTGTGCAGAGCGAGGTTCGGAAATAAAGCGTGGTTGTGTGGAGAGCAATTCTGTGCGTACTTATTTCGTGGATCCGACAATGCCGAAGCCGTCATTTCCCCTACCTATATATCAATTTATTTAAAACCTAAATAAAATTGCAGCTTTGAAGCTGTAAGTAACAGCTAGCAGAATTTCAGTGTTTTGTTTCCAAACTATCGCAACACGTTACATTGCATTCATCAGTTTCAAATAAAGTTAGTTCCTCCTGCGGTTCAACATCAAATGCAGTAAACATTTCCTGCTGCATGACACCGATGAATTCGATCTTCAAGCGTTGAGATCTCCAATTTATTGCACAGTTCATATTCACTGTATCATCACCAATTCCTACTGCCATCAAGGCTCTGCGTGCTGTATTATATGCTGTTAAAACAACTGCTTTAATTTCATCGGACGGAAGAATTTACTCAACCAATCTGCACTCGTACTTTTTCAAAGTTGGAAAATGAATCTGATTCCTATTTTGGTACATGATATTCCAACGCATGTGAATTCTCTTCAATTTGTCTGTCAATTCATTGCTGGTGAAATTTACAACGGTTTGTTCAGTTGAAGACATCGATCGAAGTTCTCTGAACAATTCCTCACATGGCTGACTGGACAAACAATCTTTTATCAAGTTAAGTAAGGCGTGTGCATCTAGCTCTAATGATAGATACGCATTTGTTGTGACACATCTCTTAAGATTTGGGTGGTTTAGCTTGCACCAATTCCGCCACCCACGTACCGCAAAATTGGCAGTCTTGTAAATGAATTAATAGTTAGATGTGTAGACAGAAGAAATACAAGAACTTATCGCAAATTTGAGAGTTCAAACAAATTTCTTTTTAAATTTTATCACGGAATAAATATTACAACAACGTAACTCACCATACATCGTGCACTCGTTCCAAAGGTGATACGTCTTCCTCGACATTCAGAAATAAAACAGTCCCATCGCTTTCGGCTACATTTGCTTTAAGAAATTCGATCAAGGGGTAGTCACTCAGCACATTGTGCTGAAATTAGATTTAGCACAGCTTGGGCACATCCATCGGCACAATCTTGTAGACATTGGATTGTTGTAAATAAAATGGGAGCACTGCTGGACAACTGTCATTGAAGTTGTTCACCACATTACGTGCTGTTTGACTGACTGAGGAACTCAGACCAGCAGTTCACTTATAGATCTAAATACGAAATGTAGGTTCTAGACTGGGCTCAAGAGAAAGAGGCAGTTAATTAGACCCCATTAATACCGTAAATTCAAATAATGCTGCAACTCACACAAAACAAACTAAAGAACTCTATTCATCATCCTCTATAGTCGGTCTCCAACATTGTTTCTCACCGGTTCCAACTCTTTCCGGTTGCTGATAGACCGTTGCCTTTCACATCACGATTACCGCATTATAAAAGCCTAAAACACAGGACTTTTATTATCCTATAAATACACCAAAAAAAAAACAAAATTTCGCACACCCGCCACTTTCCACTTACCGCATCTTCCTCAATCCGATTTATCCTTGCGATTTCAAACCAAAACATTCAAGGTGTCAGAAATACCGGGTTGCCGGCATGGATATTTTACAAACAATCGCAGCTTGCTCTATGACCGGCACAATCGGCAATCTTGTGGAACATGATTTTCAACGTAGGGCCAAACTTCATCTTGTCCTTAACGTCTACGTCACCCACAGTCAAACAATGCTTGCCCTTGCTGTGGTTGAGTACTAGCTCTTTGAGGTGAGCTTTGGTCACAAGACAATTGCCTAGTAAACAGAAGATTTTTTTTTAAATTACCGATGCTTGTTTTTCGTTATATAAAATAAATATTTACCGATTTGCATGTCCGAATTTATCAACTTATTTCGGAATTTGTTGACTGGATCTATCATGTCTTGCACATTGAGCGGTGTGTGAGCCTTATTATGCACCCTCAAGCACGGTCCCAAGGTGAAATAACATGTTCTGTTTCCAGCCCGGAATGTGCTTTCATGGCCTCATCCACATCATCGCCGTCAGATGCATGTGCAACAACAATGATGCCTTCGTTTCTTATAGCGAATTCGTTTATTATTCAGTTCCAACCTGGATCGGGTATCAAGATTTGGTCTGCTTGTTTTCTGACAAACGTCAGTTTGATCGTTTGTTTTTAAAACCCAGCTCAGGTTGACGTTCGCACTGACAAAAAGTTCGGTTTCGCACTGGGTTGGAATTGGTTCCAACCCCGATAATAAACGAATTCGCTATTAGTTTTGTCTCCGTATATTGCGACCGATTCAGTACATCTTTAGACTCGAATTTGTTATCTGAGCAAACGTGGTATAATACATGCATGATTTTTTTGCGGATCGAGATCGATGGATCCTATTGTTTTTCCTGTCACCTAAAACATGCGTTATGCTGAGTGCAAAATCATTGCATAGCAGTACATTGCACATCTTTGTCCTGGAGTTCGTTTAGTTTCGCACGAATATCGTGGATCCACAAAATGGGAACGTTTCCGTAAACATCATCTGACGACAATGCAACAACATACACACTGAGAGCAGCAGAACCTATAAACGGCATTTATTGATGTGTTATTTGAAACCGGGAATTCATAGAATATTTACCTGTCGCAAGAGGAACAGCTGGTGTTTTTAGCAGCTTTGATGGTATCGACAACGTGATTTCTTTCTCGAGCGGGTTTCTTATGGTAACGTTCACAAAACTTAAAATACAATCTAGAGTGGTATTATTCTTCCTGCCCAGGTTCCTCCACTTTTCTTCCTCTCGCAAAAAGATAAACAATTCCAATTGTCAGTTCTACCGGGAAACGTCAAAAGGGATAAACAAAAGAAATTAGCTGATCACAAACGTCTCATGGAAAGCCTTATTGACTCGGATTTCGAACTGTTCGTTTTGCTGGATGGCATGAATTGATCCAAGCCTGCATCACGAATGGTGTTGGCCAGCTTCAGAATTAGTTTTTTCTCCTCTCTGAGAAATGTAAATTGTTCCGGGTTTTCTGCGTGAATCCCGTATATTTCACACATTTTCTCAGAGCCGCGGTTCACGCATGCTATCATATCGTCCTCTATGGCACCCAGATCTTCGTCCGTGAACTTAAGAATGCGTTTGAGAGGAACAACTCCTATTGATAATTGTATTTTCTCCCAGAAACACCGGTATATTTCCTGCAGATAATCAAATATTAAAATATTTAATATTTCCACCATCGGTATTGATGCTTATATACTTTGAGCTAGTGTTCCCAGTGTACAATGTTATAAGTGTAATAAGCATAGCTGTCAAATTTCACTTCAGTATTTAGACCACCTCAAATAAGCTTATTTCAATTTAGTACAGCACCGGTCATTTCAATCCCTTGGCGGGATCTGCAAACCGACGCTCTGTTTCGACCAGGAAGCGCTGATGATTCATCCCAAAGATCCACCGAAAACAAACGAACACATGGTGCTTCTCGTGAACGCATCGAGCAGAACAGAAACTGTAAACAGAGAGGAATTACGCCTCCGCATGCTCCTGGCTCTCTTGGATCCAGCTAATAAAGATTTTTATGCATGAACCACTGTGACACATAAACAACCAAACGTCAAACAGAGCCATTCGAGCAATCGGATGAAATTCCACGTCTCTTTCCAGACGAAGGGAACTAGAAAATTGTGTTTGGAGTTTGTGAATTTTCTTCACACTTAACATTTAATTAACTTAACTATTTTAGAACATGACACAGTGAAGGGGGATAAATATAATTTAAATTGTGATTAATCTAGTGAATTTAATAAAAATACATACGATGCCTACCCTCCACCGAACGGCGCTGATTTTGATGATGCTGGCAGGATGGCTATCCTGCGCGGCGGCACATGGCTGGGGATCGGACGATATGGAAGTGTTCGATCTGGTCGAGGAAATAAACGAAAACTTCTACTCGCTGATGCAGATCAATCCGAATGCCACCAATCAGGAAATCAAGCGCGCCTTCCGATCTCTGTCGGTACAGCTCCACCCGGACAAGAACGATGCCGAAGATGCCCACATCCAGTTCCGCAATATGGTAGCGGTCTACGAGGTGCTAAAGGATGCCGGCAAGCGGGAGAAGTACGATAGGGTTCTGAAGGAAGGCCTGCCGAATTGGAAGTCTGCCCTGTACTACTACCGGCGAATGCGCAAGGTCGGTATGGCCGAGTGTGTAGCCCTCCTGGTGGTTATCATTACGGTGATCCAGTACATTACTGCATGGGCAGCGTACGCCGAGAAAAAGTACACCGCTGTAAGTTGTGGGTTGATCGCTGGGATGGATGTTCGATTAATTGAAGGAAATTGTTTTTATTCTCCAGGAACAAATCATCGGAAGCAAGTTGAAGAAGCTTCAGAAGAAGAACAAGACAGCCGTGGATATTGATACGATATTGAATGAGATTCCCACGCCCAGCATGTTTAATACGCTGCCGTTCCAGATTCCGGTGTGGACCTACAGGACGGTGACCGGAACACCGGGTGCGATCAAATCGGCTATGAACTTCTATGCCGAACAGAAGAAGGCGGAAGAGGAGAGGAAGCAAATGTACGTTTTCAGTCTGTTTATTCTCGTTGGATTTTCACAATGTCTTAACTTACTTTTAGGGAGATAGAGGAAGAGGAACTACTGCGGAAGCAGGAGGAAGACAAAGCCAAGCTGAAGGAAGATCGCAACCTGCGTAAGCGCAACAAGAAGTTTGTCGCTCCGGAGAAGACTGACGAAGAACTGGCCGCCTATACGCAGAGTATTATCAAGCAAAGCGCTTCCGCAAACGATCAGACCAAGGCGAAACCGATAGTCACCGGTGGTCTCTGGACTGAGGACGACCTAAACGAACTGGTGCGCCTGGTCAAAAAATACCCCGGAGGGACGACCGATCGCTGGGAGATCATCGCCGAAATGATGGGTCGAGTCGTCTCCGAGGTGACCTACATGGCGGCTAAGATGAAGGATGGTGCGTACAAGGTGGCCGGGCAGACGGAAAGCGTAGCGGAAACGATCATGCAGAAGGTCAAGACCAAAAAGACTGATCCGACTGCCAACGCAGCGGAAGCCAATTCGAACTGGTCCCAAGAGCAGCAGGCAGCTTTGGAAACAGCCATTCAGAAGTACCCCAAGAGTGCATCGTCGGACCGATGGCAGAAGATTGCCAACTGCATCCCCGGGAAAACTAAGGAGGAATGCATGACACGGTACAAGTATCTGGTGGAGCTGGTCAAGAAGCAAAAGCAGGAAAAGGATCGAGAAGTGGCGGCTGCGGCTGCACCCGCGGAAGCGGACGAATGTCCGGCGGAGGATGAACCGGCCGCTGAAGAGCGGATAGGGGAATCCAAATCTAAATCGAAGGGTAAAAAGGCGCGGAAGCCGGAGGCGGTTGCTGACGCGGTCGAGGAGGATGGCGACGGTGAATCAGCTGTAGCTGATAAGCAGCAGGGTGGTGGCAAGGCGAAGAACAAGCGACGCGAACGGAAGAAGGTCATCGAGTACTACAGCTACGAAGATTCGGAGGATGGCAGCGAACCGGGCGAAATTTAGTCTGCTTTCGACGGTCGGATTGAGCGTTTAGGTCTCGTGTGTTCATGTTTAGTTAAGTGATCGGTGGTGACGACTTTTGACCTTCGGAATGAAGTTCAGCTTCGGGAGCTACGGCGAGCCGAGAAGTGTGAGTAATAAACTTGATTGATTGCACAAAAACTTCGGTCGAAACTGGTGGATTTGATTGTTCTTCGAATGCAAGGGTGGGTTCAAAATGCATTTGCATTTTTTTTGCGAGCTATCGAATGTTCACGAGAGCGCCTACAATCAATTGATGTGGTAATCAAGAGGTTAGCTACCATGGCATGAGAATTTATCTGCGCTATCGCGCCCGTATCACACGTTTATTTGAATGCAACAGGGGGGTATTGAAAGAAATTGACTTACTACTGGGAAGAGTGATGTATGGCTGGTATTAGGCGAATTAAGTGTGAGTTGTTCTCACCTGATTATCGTAGCGTAAGCCTAATTGGGGATGGATTTCTTTCTTTGCGATTATGTAAGATTGATTACGTGGGGAAATTGATTCAAGTTTTAGCGATAGCGGCGTCGGTGGTGAGCGTGATTACCTCTCACCCCAGCAGGCCTGGGTTCAATCCCAGTTGGCGCCGCCGGGATGTTCTGAGGCATAACATCTCTGATCACGCCTTCCTTCGGATGGGAAGTAAAGCCGTTGGTCCCCGGTTCATGAGTTGATGGGTCGATAGGTAGGGTCCAGGTGTGGGAGCTGCCTTCCTGGCGTCGGTAGCATTGGTGCTCAGCACGGAAAATAAGATCGACGGAAAACAAATCAAGGAAAAAAAAAAAGTTGTCTTTCCACTTTGCTAACACCAAATTCCACGCAGTTTCACAGGAATGACCTTCCCGATTGTTCTGGTATCAATAAAGAGTTGCTATTCAAATCCTCCAATAGCTGGCCTTTAACAACAAGTTCTAAAATTTACTGTAATGCGAGCAAGGGGTAAGACAGCTTCTAATCATGAGCAATTTCAGAGTTGCTTTTGAGGCACCTCGAGAAACTCACGTTGCTCAGTGAACAAGATCACTGGCATTTGTTTCTCACTTTTTGCATCATAGCAACATACGGACACAGACAAACAGACATAAGTCTTATACCCCGTACAGACTATGGCTTATATCATGTAATATAGGCTGTCTTGCAATGAGCACTCATACATATAGTTTTCACTGGAAATCCTATGTATGAATGCTCATTGCAAGACAGCCTATATTACATGATATAAGCCATAGTCTGTACGTGGTATTAGATGAAGATTCTTCAAAAAATATCGTCAAGCGTATTTTGCATGCGCACTAGCACCACCTATCATTCACATTCCCAAGCAATGTTTTGCAACCGGAGCATCCCTCGAGCATGCAATTTTATCACTAGTTGCTTTTCCCTCGTTCTGTCAACGCGTCAGCTGTGTTGAATAAAAACAAAACAGATGGAAGTCAGTGATGTCGGTTCTACGAAATTTTCCGAAGATCTATAGAATTGATTGAATTCTGCAGAAATACGGATCCGTAGGAAAAATTCTCAGAAGCTAAGACTTGTTTTAGGGTTTTTTTTTTTGTTTGCTTAGACTGCTTTTTCCTTTGGTGGAAACAAGGTAATGCATCGTTTATTAGTGTCCTTTCTGTCGTAACTGGGCATCATCATTTTCGAGATTTGGCTGGATTGCGCTACTTATTCAAAATAAGAGGGCTTTCCGTGCCAAGTTCTCGGTCGTAGTAGGCTGCTGGTATTTGGTGATCGGTACTCGGTGGATGCCTTGGTTACCGTTGACAGAGGGCTCGCTTGGGGACTCTCACTTCCAGAAGAAGAAGGAGAGGGCTCGCTTGCTCGTCGTTGGGTCGGTTGGTTGCTTGGCTGATTTGCTGGTGCTGCCGGGTTGCCTTGGCTACCGTCGAACGACAGAGGGCTCGCTTGGGGACTCTCACTTCCAGAAGAAGGAGAGGGCTCGCTTGCTCGTCGTTCGGTCGGTTCGGTCGGAGTTGCCTTGGTACCGTCGTTCGGTCGGGTTTCTTGCTTTCAAAGTAGGTAGATGCTACCTTTTCAGCGTCTGAATGGAGAATGACCCACATGGTAGTAGTAGTAAAATTATGTTTATTTCTGTTGATTATGGTAGTACATTGATTTATCATTTTAATTGATTAGCCTACTTGGCTCTTCATCTTTGTTTGATTTGATATTCTAATTTAATATTTGCGTTTTTCAACTAGTTTACAGAATATCCCTTTGGGGATGTGTTTTATTTGAATTGAAAAAAGTGATAACCTACCTAACTACGAGTATAACTTAACCTAACGTGCTAGATCACGTATGATCTGATGATTTGATCTCAGACAGGTGTCTCTGAACCTTTCCAGGATGAATACTCTCCGTTCTTCTAATGTTTGAATTCCAACCAGGAAGTGGATCTCAGAATTTCTAGTCCACGGGGGACTGTTTAGGACCATCCTAAGGATATTGTTCTGGATCCTTTGGAGTTTAAGGTGATGGCATTTTGCGCAACTCTCCCAGATTGGCACACCGTACTCGATTACAGGAAGGATGATTTGTTTGTAGACAGCAAGCTTATTTTTCAGGGACAGGGTTGACTTCCTACTATATAAGTGGATACAACGATCTTATCAAGATGTTGCACTTGGTTTTTGTTTTGTCAAAGTGCTCCCTGAAAAGAAGCTTGCTGTCTAGTGTTAGCCCGAGGTACATGACCTCTTTGGACCATTCCACCACTGTGCCGTTCAGGCAGATCTTGTTATTCTCCGACGGAACAAGTCTAGGAGATTTAGAGTGTGAAAGATAATGACCTGGGTCTTTGACGCGTTGATACGGATCTTCCAGCTGTAGAAATATTCAGACAGAACGTCCAGGCCTCTCTGAAGTTTGGCAGTCAGAGCTCCGATGACCCTACCCTTGTAGACGATGGATGTGTCATCTGCGAACAGAGACAACGATCTACTATCAGGGAGAGCCGGCATATCGGAGGTGAACAGGTTGAATAGGATGGGGCCAAGAATGCTTCCTTGTGGAACTCCGGCACCGATGTTGAAAGCATCCGATGATATGCCATTCAGAGAGACTCGGAACGTCCTGTCTGATAGATAGTTGTTTATGATCTTCACTAGGAAGATTGGAAGACCGTACTGCTGCAATTTGAACACCAGGCCATCATGCCAGACATTGTCGAATACTTTTTCAACGTCCAACAACGCCATGGCAGATGTTTTCGAAACAGACTTGTTCCGTCTGAGAATGTTTGTTACTCGAGTCAGCTGGTGGACGGTCGAACGACCTTTCCGAAAACCAACTGTTCCTCGACTAACAAGTTGTTTTCATCGGCAGATGTTGGAGCCGGTGGTACAGTGCTCTTTCGAACAGTTTTGATAACCCTGAGAGAAGGCTGATTGGTCGATAACTTGAAGGAGAGGACGGATCCTTCCCAGGTTTCCGGATGGGTATGACTTTAGCTGACTTCCAACACGAGGGGAAGTAGCCAAGTCTGAGGCACTGATTAAAAATCAGTGCCAGATGGTTGTAGAATCTGGAACTCAAGTGTTTGAGTTCCAGATTCAGGATGTTGTGGAAACCTGGAGCCTTCATGTTTTTAGATGATTTGATATAGGCCAACAGTTCGTTAGCCGTAATCTCGGATTCCTCTAGAAAAATGTTAGGAATCTGAAGAAGATTGGTTGCATTTTCAGCAACCTCAGATTCATGAGGGCTGACGATGTTTTGTCCGAGATTATGGGAGCTGACGAAGTGTTGACCTATCGCGGCAGCCTTCTCTTCAGGAGTTATCAGATGAACCACTGGGTCGCCGGGACGATCCAGTGGGGTCAGTGGGGGAATGGGCCTAGGCTTGTTTTTAAGAATTTTTGTAAGTTTCCAGAAGGGCTTAGCACAATCTGGGAGGGAGCGGATCTTACTAGCAAAATCGTTATTTCTGAGATCCGCCATCCTGGCCTGAATGATCTTTGTTAATCGATTACAATTGGTCTTCAAGTTAGGCAGGCCAGTACGCTGGTACTGCCTACGAATGGTGTTACGGAGTCTAATGAGATCTTTCGAAGGGCTGTCAAGGTTCAGAGTGTTACTCACCTGTCTGGATACTGGCACGTGTTGTTCCCTGGCCCGGGAAACCACCTCCTCGATGGTTTTTAGACACCGGTCAACATCTTCCGACGTCCCCGGTTGGACATCGTAGTCGATGGTTGTGTCGACGCAGTGTTGATATTGTGCCCAGTTGACTCGATGGTAGTTGCGCCGGGAAGCTTCGAATCGGTTTACCGAGGATCCAACTTCGGCCACCACAGGGTAGTGGTCCGAGCTCAGCTCCTGGAATGCCACAGGTTGCGAGACGTTGTGTCCCATGTTGCTTACGAAGATGTCGATGGTCGCATGGACCCCAGAACGACTCAACCGGGTGGGAGAGTCCGGGGCCAAGATGGTATAGTGGCCCTCTTGCAGGTCTTCATTGAGGATGAAGCCGTTTCTATTGCTCCGACCGTTGCCCCAAGCTTGATGTTTTGCGTTCAGATCGCCAGCGATGATAAAGTTCCCGCTCCTCGGGGTGAGTTTGATGATGTCTTTGCGGAGGGCCACTGACGACCCGTCCCTGATGTTGGTTTGCTTGGGGCAGTAGGCTGCGATGATGGTGATTGGGCCAAGTGATGTGCTCACCTCCACTCCGATGGCTTCAATTGTTTTCAGCTGGAAGTTTGGTAGCAGCCGGCAACTGATGTTCCGTCTTGCAGCGATGGCCACTCCTCCACCTCCAGAGCAGGTGCGATCAAGTCTGACGAGCCGGAAGTCGGGAAGGAATACGTTCATTTTGGGCTTCAGATGCGTCTCGGTGATGATAGCAGTGTCGATCTCCTTGGCGTTGAGGAAAACACGAGTAGCTCTCTACACAGCAAAAAAAGTTGTTGAATATTACATCGAAACTGCTGCAACCAGGTCAATCCATCGGTTGTGTAATATCACATTGTACGATGTACATCGATTTTGCGAACAAAATTACATCCATTGATGTAATATTGTATCTGCTTTTTGCTATTACATCATTATTTCATACATCAGCTTGAATTACGTTGATCGATATTACATTTTTTTTTTGCTGTGTATGCTTGTTCGTCAGTGAGCAAGCGTTCCAAT